TGTAAGAATGGGCTACGTAATACCCTTGTAAAAGTATTTTAAACTGTATAAAAAAAATTGAAATCAATTGTGAAAATTCATTCCTTATATAGGACGTTCCCTCCTGTTTGATAAAATACTAAATATGGTTAAAATGTTCCAAAATGGACCAGTATGGCCAACACTGCTCTTGAGTTACAAACACTAATACTAACTAGTCTACAGTATGTCCTATATTCAAGATTTAAAACCCGCGTCGTTGCACGACTTAGTATAATCATGAATTTAAAATTAGATTTTTTTCCAGATCTGGAAAATTAATATAATATTTTGCATTGATAATCAATTTCCATTTAAAAAAAAAGGAAATTGTTTGTAATGCGAAACTTATGCATACATTAGATATAGCTTGCTTGCTAGTCTTTTTTTTTCTTTAACTTTTTATAGTTAAATCCAATTAAAAATGACTATTAAAAATATCTTCTTATTTTTAATATTGCTCAAATGCTTATTTTTAGTGGTAAATTCAACTCCAACAGACCCAAGATATGTACATGCTACTGTTGTGGTCAACAATAATTTATATGTTATGGGTGGTTTCTCTAATAGTCGATCATCAAGAGAATTTTTTTCTCTTGATTTGTCACAACCATTTGATGCAACAAATCCACAATGGAAGGATTTAACTACAACTTCACCATTGCCAGTATTAATATCATGGGCTACAGCTAGTTCCAACACTAAGAATGATACAATATTTTTGTTTGGTGGTTCTATGGTTGATACTGCAACTGGTGTTTATAATTTTAAAAGTGTAGTTTACACCCATGATTTAAAAACCAATCAATGGTTAGCAAACCCACCTGCTTTTCAAGGAATGGCACCTGAAAGACGTAGAGAATTTTCAAGTGTTAGTGATCCATTGACTGGCAAATTATATATTCATGGTGGAGCAAATGATATGAAAGTTACCACTATTGTTATATTTAAAGATTTTTTTACTCTGGATGGAGATACTTTATCCTGGAAACTAATTGGAACAGCTGCTCTAAATATGCCATCTCCTAGAATTGACCATGCTTCTGTATTGATTGATAATGGAATAATTGTTTTTATTGGTGGAAGAGAATCTCTTACTGGTACTACTGATACTATAACTGCAATTCCCATGAATAAGGTAATAAATAATAATTATAATGGTTAATAAAAAAAAATGGATGGTTATTAATTAATATTTATTTAAAAAAAGCTTACATTATATGATACTAAAGCTGACACTTGGAATTTAATGGTAATTATTAATTTAACAGGAGAAATTTATTTCAATTGGAAAATATATTAATCCATTTTTTTTTGTGTTGATCAGACTATAGTTGGTGGTCCAGTTGTTGATTCCCGTACTGGTCATACAGCTGTATATGGTAAATAATAATAATGATAAATTGATGGTTTCGTCTATGAATCCAGTGAATTTGCTGCGGAAACATTAATCTTTACATTCCCCCGAAGAATTTTTTTTTCAAATACAACAGAGAAAAAAAATAACCTTTGAGTTTTTTTATATCTGTACACACAAAAAAAAATTTATCTAGTAGAAAAAAAGTATAATACAACTTTTCACGCAAAGGTGGTTGGTTGATTGGTCATTTTTGTGCCAATTTTCCTCCGCCGGTTACTATGAAACATGCTGATCATGATTATTTCACTGATTCATAGGCGAATTATCAACTAAATATTAGTTCGTTTCTTATCATCATTTAAAATCATTTAAAAAAAACTTTTTTTTCATTTTATATATTTATCTTAGCTAATGGTAAAGTAATAGTCTATGGAGGATCTACAACTATGCAAGATACAACACCTATTCCTGAATTAGTTGTATTAGACACAACTACAAAACCTTTTAAATGGATCACACCTCCAGTAACAACGCCAGAAGTTCCTATCAATTCAGTTACATGCCATAAAGCAAACTTAATCGGAAATTATATGGTGGTAACATTTGGTAAATAAATAAATTAATTAATAAAAATAATGATGATGATAATATGTGTATGTATATTAAATCATTTATGTACCTTAGGTAATATAACAAATAAAGCCGGGCCACCTGTCAAAACAAGCAATTCAATTCAAATACTTAATATAGTTGATTACAAATGGGTAAAATCATTTCCTGGTATATCTCCTAACAGTAAAACATCACCAACAGCTTCACCAAATACTCCACCAGCAGCAACATCAGCAGCACCACCAACATCATCAACATCGTCAACATCGTCATCATCATCATCAACAACATCAAATTCAACACTTGGTCCTACAGCAGTTCTAGCAATTGTGGTTTCAATTGGTCTTGTTTTGATTATTGCTGCATCAATTGGTGTTTTCATTTTATATCGTAAAAGTAGACAAAAAAAAGATGCACACGCATCTTTATCTTTTAATAATGCCTCATCATCAGCTCGTAGCACACAAATGACTTCTTTTTCTTCTCCTCCTCCTCCTCCTTCTTATTCTCAAGTTAATAATAATAATCATTTGACGAACAGTAACAATTACAACAACAAACATTTATCTTCAATGCCTGCATCACCAACTTTACCAATGATTACTACACCACCTTTAACAACTCCAACAACAGCTACAAATTCAATGTATGATAATTTCCAATACAATAGTGGTGGTAATAACAACAATAATAATTTAGGTAATTTCGGTACCATGCCACAAACATATAATCCATCCACATATTACAATAGCCCTAATTTGACTCAACAACAACAACAACAACAACAACAACAATTAGAATTGCAGCGACAACTCCAATTACAACAGTTACAATTATTACAACAGCAGCCACAATTTCAAACATTACAACAACAATTACTACAGCAACAATTATTGCAACAACAATTAATGTTGGGAGGTTATGCTAATCAATCACTTCCTCCACTTTCTCCCACCTCTACTTTTAATGATAATGATCGTTTTAGTGATAATAATTCAGTTTCACGATTTTCTAATACTATGGAACCAAGTTTGCAATCAGGATTAGGAATAACTTCTTCTTCACCTACTTTACGCTCTCATATGCCTACAACAAATCAAGATGTCAGTGATAACAATGATAATGATGAGAATGATGAGAATGACGAGAATGATAATGATGAGAATGATGAGAATGATGAGAATGAGAATGATGACGATAATGACAATGATGGCGATGATGACAATGATGACAATGATGACAATGATGACAATGATGACAATGATGACAATGATGATAATGATGACAATGATGATGGCGGTAATAAGAGTCCACATCCATTACCACGAGGCTCAGTAATAAAATACCCATTAGTAACAAATTCATCCATACAACAATCCATGCAATATGATGGTCCTCCTCAAAATTAATAACAATAATAAATAATAAACATTATGATTCAATAAACATAATTTATTTTAAAAATTTTTTAATTAATAATAATAATAACTTATATGATTGTTAAATTCTTTTTTTAGAATTATTCTTATGATTCTTATTGTCGATTAGTTTAATTATATATATTTGATTAAAGATGTATAATATATAATAAATATAAAGGTTGATAGAAAAAATAAAATATCTTGAATCTTTATTTTATAAATAAAAACTTTTTTAAGTTGGATTGTATCATGATTCAATATTGGTTAAATTGGAGAAATCATCATCTAGAATCCAAACTAGTTAAACCATAAAAAACATATAATATTCATCATTTGCTTTAATAATATTATTGAATTTTTATTGGAAAAAAGAAATTGGGCGGAAAAGTTGAATGGAATAAATATATTACTATTGTCGAATTAACAAAGTATTAGTATGGTAATAAAATAAATATTTTTCTAATAATAGTGGTATATATTTCCCAAATGTTATTATCTCACATTTTCAACCTAGAAGAATTTAAAAAAAAATAATTATTATTATACCGTCTTCTTCCTCAGAATTCGTAGATAATTTAGTTAGGAATTATTGGACCGTTAATATATGGTAAACATATATTTTTAAAAATTAAGGCTTCAAACATATCGAGTTCGAGTCTAATTTTAAAGCGGATTCGAGTCAAACCGGATTTTTCAATCGAATATGAAAATTGCGTTTCAACGAACTTCAATGAAACAAGATTCGTCGAAACAAAAGAATTTGGATGCGATTCGTTAAATGATCGACATCAATTTCCTTTTTTCATCCTAATTCTCGTTTTTTTTGTGCCGACTAGGTATGCAAAAATCACATTTGTTGCAAATATTACAATGACCATGCGTGATTTTCATTCACACCACGATATCATTCTGATTTATTTTCTATCATTGCTATTCATTGCTATTATTAGGAAATGATGAGTTCTGTAGTTGTACAACAATTTGATCAAGAAAATTTAGAGTTTGAGGAGTACAGTCAAATCTCGATAAGCCAAAACTTTGGGAATCACAAAAATAGGGTCATCGGCTTATCAAAATTCGGTTTATGAAAAACGATTTTTATCATTATTAATTGTTCAAATACAATAATAAATTTTATCCCACGTTTACTAATGATCGCCCATGATTTTTCATAGTGATATTTTAAAAATCGTGAAAATATTTACTTTATTATTTATTATTATTGTATTATTTTTTATATTTATTATTTATGCAAAAAAGCAGACTTTATTTAAAACTTTATTTAAAATTTAAAAGTTACATTATTGAAATGGCAGTTATTAAAAATAGGAAATTTCTTTTCCATATCGTCAAAAGAAAATTCTGGTATAGCATTATTAATGTTTAAAGAATTATTTATTGAAGTTGAATCACCAAGAACTGATTTTGATGGTTCTATAGCATGAATTAAAGTATCCATAGCAACAAGATGCTGCTTTTCATTTACTTCTTTATATGCACGAACACCTTGTATGCTTTTGTGACCTGTTAATCCCATTATGGCATCTTCTGGAACATTAGCATCTTGAAGAATCTGAGCAACAGTTTTGCGACCAGTGACCAGGTTTTCTCACTACCATTTGTTTGTAAGCCACCGTGATAGTAATAAAGAAAAAAATGTCTACAAACTTCTCTAATCCATGATAACAATTGACTTGTATCACTGAGTGGTTTTTCTATCTTGAACAATGCATTTTTGATATTACCACTAAGTAGATCTTGGAGGTATTCCTTTATATTTTTAGGAAGATTGAATTTAATAGTCGTATTACTATCTATCTCATAAAATAATTCCTCTGCATCTTCCTCAGAAAGTTTTTGAATGGTTTACAAAGTGGATAAATGTGTTGATTCCTTAATTCAAGAAAAATTTTTTTTTCAATACTAATTTTTTCATTTTCATTTTCAATCTATATAATGGGTATGATCAATTTGATTGATTACACTACAAGTCATGTTCACTCATTTGCTAAATCTGAATGAAAATCAGAAAAAATTATCAACTAAAATTATTTAATTACTTGCCTTTTGTTTTTTTTTAAGATCCTGTTCATGGAGAAATTCATTACCTCTAATCAAAGGAAAAAAAACCAAAGAACATAAATGAAAAGAAGATAACTTACTTTAATAATATTACCAGGTGCATCTTCATCAATATTGCTATGTTCCTTAAGTGTATTTTCCTAGGAAAATTTTTGCAGTTAATTTTGTGAATCATCAATATCAAGAATGGTAACTACATATTAATTTTATAACCACCATTTGCTTAATAATACCACTACTTTTGATTCATCAAGACTAAGGATACCGGCTGCAACTTTTGATGATGGTTGCTACCATCTTTGCGTCATATAAAAATGATTGCAACCACTGGTTGCAACCACCTTTACAACCATTTTGTTTCCTTTTTTGGATTGCGACATGGAACACTAATCAAGACAGAGTTTCTTCATATCGTTTTGTAGCGAATCACTCTTTTTTCTTTTTGAATCTTTTATTATTTGCATTTAAAGAAAATAAGTAAAAAATTATGTAAAGTAGATATAAAATTTAAATAAAATACATGAAAATAGTAGATCTTGAGTTTCTGTATAAATTGTATTGCTTAAATCATCATGAAGCTCTGAGACCTGAGACACCATTTTTGTAGAATTTAAATGGTATTGCCTTTTTCAAAGTGTTTATTAACATAGGGTGATTATCCCAGAAAGTTTTAACTGCATCCGATTTAGTTTCTTCCTATATGAATATGAATAAAATATAAAGGAAAGCCTGATGCTGTTTAGATGCATCCAAACGCATCAATAAAGTACAACCCACAAGACGCATCCATTGGGCTTTCAGATGCATCCTAGTACTTTTGGCAAAGTTAATAGCAAAAAAAAATCATGAAGAGTAATCTCAAAAAGTGCAACCCGCTGGACGCATCAGTTGGGCTTTCAGACGCATCCTAGCACTTTTGGTCAACAGGCTATTCATGATGGCACTTAAAAAAGTTTCTTAACCTGAAATTTTTCTAACGCCTCCACTGCTAACATTTTAACTGAAACACTATCACGAAGTAACAGTAACTCTGGTTTATTTTTAATATCTTCCAAGTTTATTTTATAAGTGAGATGTATTTCATCCTTTTTTCCAAATTCCAGTTCCTTGGGATTGACCAAGCACCATCCTAAAAAACCTATCAAACTCCAAGTAGCTTTCTCTGCAAAGTAATCAAGCCTTGACATTTTAGTGTTGATCTTTTATCAGTAAATTTTTATGAAAAATTTTTCAAAAAGAATTTTTTTCTAAAAATAGATTTGATATATCATAAAGTCACGTGATCACAGAATAGATGCATGAAAAAAAATTTTTCATATTCACAAAGAACTTATTATTTCAAGCGATAACATAGATGTAGAATTTCTGTGAAAAATGTTATTATTATCTGATTAAACATGCGAGGGGTAATCAAACTTTAATTCCTTCTTTTAAATCAATTCACGCTGTAATATATATTAATATTAATATACAAAAAAAAATAACGGTACTTCTTATTTCGCATGTTTGCAAAAACGATCGGTGTAAAGATTCTTTACGCGCACGTGATTTTTATGATATTTTGTACTCAAGAGTAGCCCAAAAGTTAAACCATAATCAAAAAACTACCTTGCAGTACCACCATTTAACGAGAATCAGAAACTGTAAAAATTTTATTACTTCAAATATTATTATAATTTAGAAATAAAAACAAAATAAAAAGATAAATAATTATAACAGATTAGCTAGAATCTAACGTTTATTAATCAATCAAATGTAAATAAACCGAAACCGAAACCGAACTGAACTTTTCGGTTTATAAACCAAAACCGAACCAAATTTTTTGCATACAAACGAAACCGAATCGAATTTATTTTTTTAAACCAATAAAAATTTAAAATTGATAGTGTTACCGGAATTAGAAATTCATTGGCTGAAATTCTCTAATTCCGCATTAATCTATTTCGTGACGTATAACATTTGTAGAAATTAACGTAGATTTCGCACTTAAAGAGCGATTTCGTACTTGAAGAACTATTTCGGGATTAAATCATTGAATTGCAATTACACAAAAAGTACGGATTCATGATAAATAGTAACTAAAGTGCAATATTGCTAAAGCGCTTGAGTATCATTTATTTTGAAAATATAAGGAGCAATTTTTTCACCTTGCTCTTTCTTCAAAATACTTCTAATGGTGCTGTAATTTTGGGTTCCATAGTAGATCGGATGTAAATGAGTTTCATATTAACTATTTTTATCTAGACAAATATCATGATCACATTACATGGTAATACTATTGATCCCTGAAATCCTTGGTAATACCAATGTTCACTTTGTTGCAGCATGCTCCAGATATATCAATAAGAATTTCTATTCATAATACAAATTCTTATTTGGATTATTCGTAATACAACTCAAAACATTCGTTGTATTCAAATTATTCGTTGTTTATTCGTTTTATCAGTTATTCGAATTATTCGCATTATTATTATTTGTTACATTCGAATAAACTTTAATGTAATTCGATTACTCAAATTCATAACGAAAAAACAAATAATTCGAACAAACCTTATAAATGTAGTAAAAAAATTTAATATACACATCTTTGATGGTCCTTCAAAAATGTGTAAATCATATTCTTTATATTTTGAGTTTCATGCCTTTGTAAACATTAATATTTTTATACTCATAAATTACACTTAATTTGATTCTAATTTAAAAAATAGTATTGAATTAAAGACTAGAAAATATTAAAACAGTTGTCAGATACTAATTAATATACTCGGACTCGGACTTGGATTTGGTTCGTTCTTATTCGACTATTTAATATTTTGTTACACCATATTAATATACAGTGGGAGAATTTGGCGGACTTTTTTATGAAACTTACTCTGGAAGAATTTGGTAGGCAATGTATAGAATATAAACAAAAAATTTGTGTTTACTATAAAACTATCTCTCACTTAACAATTCTCTCTCTAGATTTCACTCTAATATGTAGAGCCACACCCTAGTAAACCAAGCCTTGCTAAAGAAAAGAAATAAAGAAAAATATAAAATAATCATACACGGGATTAGTATGGAGACTAGCCCTTTTATTACTTTCATTGTTAAAGACAAGTTTGTCATTATTATAAATACAAGACAAAAATCAATGACAACACAAGGACAAGATTTTAAGTTAATAAAATTACAACGTTATTTTATATGTTCTAAAGTTTCAATCATCTAGTTCCCTTATTTCCGGGAACTCTGGGTGATGTAGAATCTGGTTCTAATTTAATGCTTCTTAGATGTTACTTTTAGAAGATAAAATTCGTGTTTTTTTTTTAAAGTGAACGTATTACTATAGTTTTAAATTCTTTCTTTAAATAGAACTCTGAATTAAAATAAATTACACTGGAATATGAACTAACATTAATACGTTAATTAAATTAGTACAGTTCACTCTCTCTATAACAGATCATTGAGATTAGAAAAAATATCCGTTATAGAAAGAATCCGGTACTAATAGTGCAAAGACACTTAGTCACTACAACATTCTGCGCCACAGCTGCAGTTATAAAAACACTTCCCAATCACGTGTTTTCGAAGAACAGAACTTTAATTATATATACACTTAATAATTCCAAGTTATTAATTAGTTATAACCATTTATTAACTATTTCATTCTGAGCAAGAGTTATTAACCAAGGAAAACCTATATACGTATCAAGTCTTTCCTAATTTGGAAGCCCTATTTGTTTTTTTTTTTCAAAAAAATTTATTGCCCATAAAAGTTTGTTTTTTTAACACTAATACTTAATAACTTGATTTTAAAATAATTTTTACGCTCATATATATATACACTATCTCTTAAACGGTCAGCGTATTCTTTGATTGTAACACGAAATCACGATCTCGTATTCTTATTGATCGATTTAACGACCAGCAAAGTAAAAATAGTCAATTGACCAACTTTTAAAAGAAAGTTATACAAAATCACAAGGACAACCAACGCCCAATTTTTTTTTTTTTTTTACAGACCCGATCGGCTATATCTCAGAGATCATTTTCATATTAGGAGGTGATATGCTTAGAGAAATTTTATATATCAGAAAAATATCAATAGTTGATTAACCGTTTAAGTGATAACAAGTTTATATTAAAAAAAAGGAAAGACGGGAATATGATAATTAATCTATTTTTTTAAAGCATCATTGAATTTTAAATACACAGTGCCCGAAAATTCTGCAAGGATAGAAAAAATCGTCGATCATTACATATTAATATATGAAGTCTGTAAAATTTTAATATTAACGAAACATAAAAATAAATGTTTATTAAATCATCTAATTTAGGTTGTATTTTTGTTAAATTGTTGCTGATTTTTTGTTGTTGAAATCGGAATTGTCTGCTTTGCTAAACAAACCTCTCTTTTTACCAAAGCAGTTAAAGGTTTTCTCTTATTTCATGACATTTTAAAAAATAATGAAACGAAACAGGTGATTTTAAATCAAAAATTCAATTTTATGAAAATCATTGTTTTTTTTAAGGAGAAATTCAAGGATTTATATAATATGTTATAGTAAATATTACATTTTATTTGTTTTCTATATACTTTAGTATGCCCTACTATTTATTTATTAAGACCTAATAATCGTAAGCTTATTTTTGAGATTTTTTAAAAATTGGGAGTCCGTTATTATTATAGAGGAAGAAAGTTTATTATTATTAATAGAAAGTGGAGGATTGGCAAATGTGTGTGTGTGGTCCATTAGATCTATTAGCGTAACATTTTAACCATATTTAGTATTTTATTAATAAGTCTCAATGAACCAGTCAATTTGCCAACCCTGGAGTATTAGTATTTCCGTGCTAGATTTTTGTCACGTATAACTTGTAAATCAATGAACCAGTCAATTTGCCAACCCTGGAGTATTACTATTTCCGTGCTAGATTTTTGTCATGTATAACTTGTAAATCATTTCCGATTTATTTTCAAGTCTCTCGTGATCTATAAATCACAATTTCACAATTTGCTAGATGTGCGAACGATTCCATTTTTGTTTGCAGAATTTGCATTTAATGGCCAGGTGATTTATTTGAATAAAATAATATTACACAAAGAACAAGATTTTGAATAACATCATCTTCAATATTTTCATCTTCTATTTTCAATTTGCATTACTAAAAACTATGACCTGATCTACGTATTTATGTGGTACAATCAATCATTCGACAGTTCACTCTGTTACTATTACTATATATATAATAATAATGGGTCATTTGGCTTAGTCTGGTTATAAAGATAACCTGTTATAGATAGAATTAGTAATAGTAGTAGTAGAGGACCCTGAACAATCTTAGGAGATGGTACATTTCAATTTTGAGTAGAGATAACCTTCAAAATCGAATATCGTTTCTTAATTAGGATAAAATTTTCCAAAAATGGTAATAAAGTGGGTATTTTTTTTCAATGTACCATCTAGATTTTGTTCAGGGTCCTAGTGTTAATAATAATAATTTCGGGCACTGTAAATAATTTTAGTAAATAATTTCGGTACAGTAAATAATTACAGTTAGCGTAATAACTTCGGCACCATAACAGGTAAGTTATTATTATTTCAGTTAGCGTAATCTGTACATTGGCTCAAACGATTTCATAATCAATTTCTATTGCTAACGTTATTTTCTGATGAACCAGGTGAAAAGCAATTAGTTTAGTCATTTAAAATAACGAGTTGTAAAAAAAATTTTAATGAAAATATTATTTATACTTCTAATAATTTACTAATACTAAAGAATGTATTATTATTATCCTATTTACGGAATTACGCTAACCATAATTATATTATTACTATATTTACGGTAGTATCAAGTACGAATTAAATGCAATAAAGTTAAATTACTGCGTAATTAAACCAAGGGGCAAAATAAGGAAATATTTTGAAATTTAATTTTTAATTGTAATAATTGTATTATTAAATAATATTAATATTTAAACTTTCTCACATAATTAATTAATCACGGAATTTTCTCTTGCCGAAATTCCGTAATAGTAATTATAATAATAGTAATTCCACAACAACAAGAATAATAGTAATAGTATTTTAAAGGCCTAGGAACAGAGGTGTAACCTTTTGGGAAATTTATCTACATTAATTAAATACATAAATAAGAGGATTCCTTATTTAGAAAAAAGATCTGCAATTCGCTTTCAAGATAATTTTCAAGCCAATTTTTGATCTGATTGATCTGAATGCCAAAAAGTATCGGATGTCCAACAAACGTAATAATAATAACTATCCCGAAATCGTTGGTAATATTCTGTATGCCATGATGCACCATTAGCACCTTCACAATCGAATACACATTAATAATATCCAATATGAAAAGACAAAGTCATTCGCTCTCACACAATTCTAATCTAATTGATTTTTCATGCTTTTATTAGGTTAATACGTCATTAACATTTTTGCTATTCTCACAAAGCGATTGCATTTCAGTTGAAACCAAACTATAACTTCCAAGCAAAATCTAACTTTTAACATTGATTGACTTTGAAGCAATTTATTTTTGCCACTTTTTGAAATACAATAAACACAAAGATAGCCTGCCGCCGTGGATAAGATAAAAGTGTGATTGATGCACTGCTCGTTTGACATGCATGGATTCATTGTCAATAATAGTCAGTCGACTACAAATAAATTAAACCTATACGGAAACAAGCATGTATGTTTTTAGATTATATGTGAGTGACAAACGCATGCATCCTTTATAAATATCCGACCACCCAAGTTGTGTAACGTCAAATGAAAAGAGTCCTTACTAAAAAAGTAACGTTTTCTTAAATAAAACCGTTTTTACTTTACCAAGTAGACTTGTACTTGATATCAAAATCTCTAAATTACAAAAGCTTCGAAAGGTTCGGTATGATATTAATGGAAACATTTAGCAAATAGTCCAAAAAAGCAAATTTTCAATCGAATCTTTACATGTAATAAAGGTCAAATTTCTTCATTGTAATGTATATTATTTTATTAATAAAATGTGCTCAACGTAACAGATTAATTAGTTTGTGAAAGGGTTTAAAAAAGTATCCGATCACCCCGTAATTTTATTATATAAACATTTAATAAAGTTGACAAAATGCAAATTTTAAGGATTTACGTTTTAACCATATATAATTCAAGATATTTTTAAGTGAACTTACTTAATGACGTGATCCATGATTCAACGGAGTTTTGAAGGTTTTTACTAAGCTCAAAGTTTTCATAAAAATCACGGAATGTTTTGTCTAATTTAAAATTTTCATCCTAAATTCATTAATAATGCAAACTCGACAAGACTTTAAGTTTATAATGCAAATTAACTTTAAAAAACATGCTAACTTAATTCACCAGTCCCGGTTTGATTAATAAAATTTTGAACTGCACAAGGCGGTAACATTTCCGATTATTAAAAATGATCATCAGGTGATCGGATATTTATGGTAGGTGAGAGTGTACATCACACACACACATATATATACAGTATATATACAAAACAAATGATTAGAAAGATAAAAATAAAAAACTCAATTCAAACAAAACACACATAAAACATCTTAGGTTTTCTTTTTTCATTGGATGTATGTAGTATGTCTATCTGTCTAAAATATTTTACTATAAATAATATTGACTCATGAATATTAATTAATTTACCAACATAAGCCAAAACTGCGCTCTAAAGCATTCAATGTCTTCCAACATTATTCTTTGTATTTTTTATATACAAGCCTTTTTAAAAATATAACAAATATTATTGCCATCACCCTCTAATAAACATTTATTGTCTATCCAGCGAAAGATTACGGGAGCATCAGAATTTGATAATATTGCAATAGAAACAATTGTATTTCAACCACTGTTTGTTGAACAATCGAAAACAGGATGTAGCTATTACTATTACTATTACTATGCTGACATAGTTTCGATATATCATAATCATCATTTGTCACATTAGAAAGCCCTTTATGTTTTTTATGTACTGACAAAATGTAATATGTATATAAAAACTGGGTTCTTAGTGTGACTATTTGTTTGTCCATTCAAAATATCTAGTAACTTATAAATAATAAACTCCTGAAAAATTAATTAGGCTGATTCAAGATTCCAGCAGATCTTGGTACAATATGGAAATATTGTGTGCTATTACAAATTACATAAACAATCATCGTTAAAGTTCTTGTGCTGTCGGAATTTCGTAAATAAATAGTAAATATAAATAAAATAAATGGAATAAATAAATGATTGTCATTTTGATTGAATAAATTGGATTGTTATATTTCCGCTAATAACAAATCTATATATTTTTCTTTCTATTTTTTATCAATCAATCTTTATAAAAAATCTTATTTCTTTCTCTCACTCACTCACTCTTTCAAATTCGTATATTATATAACGTTCTTTGAGCATATTAAATTTAAAAAAAAATTTTTAATTTTCTCAAAAAGTAGTCATTACCTAATTTAGTTAATTCAATTACATTGATATTTTATTTATTATTTATTCTTTTAATGGCTCTGATCTAATTTCCATCTGTTTATTATTATTATTTAAATGTATATACTACGCGTTTCATTTAATGTGGTGGATGGACTATATAAATAAATAGATATTTTCGATAAAAAACTATATAAATATCGGAAAAAAAAATTTTTTTTTTATACTTTTTTTTAAATTAATGAATCTTTTTTTTGGTTTTTTTTTTTTAAATGATTTTTTTTTTTAAAAAAAAATTTTCATTTGTAAAATTGTAAAATTTGACAAAAAAAAACTCCCAAAAAAATGGGAACTTGCTCATCAAAATCACTATTAAAATGTGATCCATTTTCTAATGAAATAAAACAACAACAAGAAATCTATATATATCAACAACCAAATCAACATCAAAAACATCATCACCATCAACATAGTGATAGTTATAGGTATATTGATGGTAGAAGATTTCATATGGATGAAAATGTTAAATACTTGTATCCAAATGATGAAGAAGAAATTGAAAGATTAGAAAATCAATATTATTTACTTAAAGAAAAATGGAATGCGACATTCTTGTCACCTGTAGCACCTAAGTTGCTTGCTGGTGGCAAAGTATTGGATATTGGGTAAATAGATAGATAGATTAATTATCAATATTGATTTTTTATCATGATTAATAAACCACTAAAAACCGATCTTTTCTTTCCATCTATCTACACCACCCACATCTTTCTTCCTTCACAGATGCGGGACAGGAACCTGGATCCTAGATTTAGCAACGGAATATAAAACAACCACATTCATTGGACTTGATATATCACAAATATTTCCACAAACTGTCAAACCAAGAAATGTGTCATTTATAAAATATAATGTATTGGACGGGTTGCCATTTCCTGATGACTGTTTTGATTTTGTAAATCAATCATTTTTAGCATCTGCATTCACTGTTTCCCAATGGCCCACCATACTAAATGAAATAATCAGGGTTACTAAACCTGGTGGTTGGATAGAATTTTTGGAAGGTGATAGCATTGTTTATAATAAAGGACCTGTTATACAAAGACTAGATGCTAGCAGTAAGTAATTATTATATATATATATATATATTGACAAAAGAAAATACTAATTTAAAATAATTTATTATTATAGTGACAAATTTTCTAATTTCACAAGGATTATCACCAAACGTTAATAAAATATTACCAGAATTATTAAATTCTTCTGATAAAATAATAGATGTAAGATATGATGAAAAAACTTTACCGCTTGGTATCTGGGGTGGGAGATTAGGATCTGTGGTGAGTGCGTAATTGATTATTAAATGTTAATTAATCTCCAAAGTTAAAAGATCAACCTTAAAAATTAATCACTAATCTTTATACATCTATACACTTTATTGTATGTTTATTTGTAGACACTTGAGGTGTTTATGATAGAATTGAGAGCAATTAGGAACAGAATACAGAGTGAAATGGGGATTAGTAATGAACATTATGATGCATTAATGGAGGCATTTGTTGTGGAAGTTAACAAATTTAAATCTTATATAAAGCCATTTAGATTTTATGCACAAAAAAGAAATTTTTAAATTCATATTTTTTTTTTTTTGAGGAAATTAATTTTTTGAGGATTACATTATTATCAATGAGATGAAATTAATTTTTCAATTAATTAATTCTTTTTAAATAATTTTTTATAATTTTATCAAAATATTAATTATGTATTTATTTATCATTTGTTGATATATTATTCATCTATTTACACCTTGTCATCATCATCATCATCATCATCATCATCATCATCATCATCATCATCATCATCATCATCATCATCATCATCATCATC